ATATATATATGTGTGTGTGTGTGTGTGTGTGTGTGTGTGTGTGTGTGGACAGTGAGATCAACTCCGAGCGGCGACAAACTGTTTGATACCAGACATGTCCTGAAGATTGCGTTCCAGCATGAAACAGACTGCCACCGCTCGGTATTATATCTTTTAAAGATAACTAACAAGTTTCCTGTACGATTAATATCTGAAAAGGATGTGGATTATTATATTTATATCTTGTCTTTGATTTTGTTGTGTCAACATTCTCTAGTTTTTTTACCTTGATGTCCCATCAACTTTGAAGAGACCTTTAATTTTACTGTCAAAACTAGGTAACAAAAAATTTGCTAAGTAAAACAATACCGTGATTAAAAATATTCCAAACTTGATAAAAAAAAATTTTTACCGTCAAAATGTTTATGTTATTATTAAGAGGACACAACAAAGTATTTTTTGATTATTTTATTAATTTTTTTATTTCTTTCTAGCACGCGCGAAATTTTGGTTAAAATCTTGTTTTTATTGCGTTAGTTGGTTGGCCAAGGAATAGTATAAGCATTTTTAGTAGCTTTTTGGCGTTAAAAACACATTGGAAATTATGGCAAAAATCAAATAACTGTCGGATTTTAATAAAAATTGCAGGACTTATTCACAAATGAAGGAAATAATTTTGAAATATTTTGTTTTTTAGAAAATATTGGTAAAAATACATTTTTACACCTGTTAAACCCATTTACTTAATTTTAAAAAATTTGAGAAATTTAAATTCCAGAGTTTTTATATTTATATTAATTAAAAGCAGGTTTATTTGGAGAATTAAAATCATTAGTTTGTGTTTTTGTTAAACGGAAACACTATTAAACGAAAATCTGTTCTAAAATGCAATAAAACTATGACATTATTTAATCAGAAAAGTTTTTAATTGTTTTTCTTAAATAAGATATATTAAAGACATTATATTCTTAAGAAAATTTTTGCAAGAATTGTTTTCATTTTTTTATTTTAATTAGAAAAATTTATTAAGTTTCAAATCTTTCAAAATTCTGTATTAACTTCAGCCTTTGATATGATATCATTATTAAGTGAAAACTATATTTCCTAATCAATGGAAAAGCTTCATACACATCACCAAAGATCAATATTTTTTAAAGAATAAGGACTCTGATCAGCTATTTTAACTGATATGTCCCTGAAAGGGATATATTTGTTCGAAGTAGCAAAGTGGTTTTGGACTACCGTAACCGAGTAGGACAATCTAGCAAGTAACCGTAATGGACTGGTCCTCGTCGTAGTGGTAGGCAATAGGCGTAGGCAATAGACGAAAACAATAGGTGTAGTCCTTGTTACTTCCACATCAGTCTGTATTTATGGCTGACACCAGCCAATCATATTACTGTGAGGGGGAACCCAGGTAATGCATATTCATTAAATCATTAGCAAAAAAAAAGAAAGAAAAGAAATTCTTTCCGGTCAATTTAAATTTGCTTTTGAAATACAGCAAAGTATTTTGCTTATTGAAAATATTAAAATTAATTTATTAGCTTGAAATTAAAACTAAAATAAAAGTTTCAAGCAAGAATTTTCATTTTCAAAAATTAATTTTAATCCTTACGTATCAAATTTTTATGTAAGTCCCTAGTCGAAACTAACGGAAAACATTATTCCACTTCTCACAGCTGACTTCTAATTCATGTTGCTTATTTCGATAAAGAACCCAACCCCTAACAAACCCATCAGATCCATGCAATCTAATTCTATAATCTTCACTAAAATATGACTGTTGATAAATCAATATTCATAAATTTGTTCGACCAATTTAAAAGTTTATCTTTGTTGTTTACTTAAATGTGGTATTTGTGTTGATAGTGTTTACTTTCAGAAAACCAGTTTCTTCAAAAATGTTCTTTCTGATCAATCCAATCTTTATGCTCATTGCTCGTTTAATTTTCATCAAATCTCTTTTCCCAACATGTATTTTCATGCTCTGATATTGCTTTCCAGAGTTTCGCAGATTTACGAAGTCTGATCAAAAAGTATCGGGACTGGTGCTATAAAAAGAAAACTACAACATATATAATAATTCGGTGCTTAATCTCCTTTGAAATAGTCGTCTTTTGAAGCCACACACTTTGTCCAGCGTCGTTTCCACAGGTGGAAGCATTCCTGGAAATGCATTTTTTTTAGAATAGCTAGCAGCTGTCTCATTCTCTTGGATTTCCTCGCCGTCTCCCTTTCAAGAGGTGATTTTGTTTTCGAAGAGGAAAATGTGTTAAATGGCGAGATCAGAGTGATATGAGGATTGTCGGATCTGGGGATTGTTGTACTGAGGAGTGCTGAACAAAAACTGCTGCACAAGACATGGTTACGGATGGAACTTCAATGGTGTGATGATACGACCACACGCTACACATTTTCCTTCCAAGCAGTTCTATAAAAACGGAAGTGAACGGGAAGGTTATAACTCTGTTATTTTTATATATATATATATATATATATATATATATATATATATATA